GAGAGAGAGAGAGATTGATCGAGAATGTGGGTGGTCGAAGTTAAAAATGTAAGAAACTTTCGTGAGCGAATAAAGATGTCAAATGTATGATTTTTTTTAAAATCGAAATTATATATGTTAAATAATTAATCTTTTAAGTTTCAAAATATATGTTTGCACTTAAATTATGTTTACAAATTTTTACGAGTTAAATTATTTCTTTGAATTCATTATAGAAGAAAATTCTTGTCGTATTTTTACACGATTAAAAATATGTGTATTTCATATTTCTTTGTGACAACTTAACTTTCGGAGTTAATGTAAAGGAAAGTATATCCCGGTGCGAGGTCATGTAAAGTTAGAAAGTTAATGAAACGTGACTTCCTTCAAGAAACTTTCTGCGTATTGACGCATTCTGAACGATCGAGGCGTGGTCGAAAAGATCCCAATTCCCGAGATAACTCGACGGATTTTCGAGTACACGTATTACGTCAACTCTATCGTCGCTTTATCCGAGATAAGTAATAATGTTTCGGGCACACATCGCGGAGGTCCGTCCGTAAATTAGGGCCGCGACGTGCCGAGCCTCACCTGCGTACACGAACGAGTTTAATGATTGTTTAATGGGGGCGCGTGTGTCGTAAATTATCCGTGTATTCGACGGTCTCAAATGCTTGAAATTGCCTCTGGGTTCTGAGCACGGGTTTACACGGCAACCCTCGCTTTCTCTCCCTCTCTTTCACCATCAACTTCAAACCGCCTTCATCTTTCGTTCTGCATCTCTGTCCTGTGTCTCTTTTTTTCTTTATCTTCCTCTTGTTGAAGAATTACAACGTTAAAGAGAATCTCACATTACGAGATATATCGATGTCGATGTCGATAAGAATTTTGCGGTTATTTCGACTTTCGGCATAATAATAAAAATATTGCAGTATCGCTGCATTTTCGAACCAATAAATGCAGTGATTACTGCAATTTATTTTTATTATTATACAGAAAATCGAAATAACCGCAAAATTCCTAAATGACTAACCTAAATGACTCATGATATAAACGCTTATTTGTGATATTAAGTTATTTTTTATGATATTACGTTGCTTAAGGAAAAATTAAAGAGAATGAAAATATCAGCAACCCTATGTCTATGCCTATCTTTACAAGAGGGATTTATTTTAGTAAAAAATGGTGCGTGTGAAAGTAGCGTTACTAAATAAACTTAAAAATAAAGTCAAAATTCACACGTAAACTAAAAAATGAAACAAAAACAACAAATTTAAGAGAAATATGCAAATTGTGAAAATGTCGACTCGTGCCTTTATATCTGTAACGTTAGTCACTTTATAGCGTATAAATTTTATCTCCATATTTCATATTTTACATAATCGTAAAGTTTTATATCTCTCTATATAATTATCTTCTTAATTTTATAGTCTAAAGCTTACCTCCATAACGAACCATATTTCGTCGTATTCGGACTTCTTCGCGGATCGTCTGCGATATATTCCGTAGAAATCCGGTAGATTAGGATGACCGGCGAAATCACGAAGAATACGATACTCCTCCACAATTAGGGACTGCGTTTCCGGCGTGAGCTTCTGGATTTTAATGGCAATCTTTTTATTTCCTAAAACATATTCAATGTTTATATTTATTTCTGTATAAAATCATTCCCTGTATTGCAAATGACAAATAACAGTTCTTTTTTATATTCCTACTTTATTTAGGAATATAAAATTTATTTTCGCAGTTTATATTAATCTATATGCATATATATTTTTTTGCGTACCAGCCTGCTGATCAATTCCTTCATAAACATCGCCGCATATGCCGACACCAATGCGATCCTTCAATGCGTATCTCTTTCCTGGATCCTGAATGCTGTCCAATCGTTTAAGAGTCACAGATCCCGTATCTCGATTCTTACTTCGATTCTCCATTTCTTTTTGTTTATCTCGTACATTATCGTGCCAATCGTTACTTTCTCGTTGTTTTCCGTAACCGAAATCATTCATTTTGCAAATAGATAATGTCTATTGCCTGATATATACAAGAATAGAAATAATTTATATAGATTATTTTAAATAGTTTAGCAATTAAGACATAAACATAAGCGGAAAATAGGATTCTACAAGTCATAATTTTTATGAAATTAAATTATGATTTAAATATTTAAATAATATTAATATATAGATTTCTTTCGTAAAGTAAAATATTAATTTTGAAGAATAATAAAAAAATATATATTTAAAAAACTTTAATTTAGATCGAAATAATTTGTTATTTGATGATAATGGAACATAAAGTTTTGGTAAATTATTTTATTAATCAATGTATATAGTTTTTGTGACATTGTTTTTATACAAATTTACATATATTGTTCTTCTGTTTCAGAAAATTTATTGATGTCTTGATGATAAAGCAATGTTCGCATTCTGAGAAAATTATGATTGACTCTTTCTTGTGATCAAATCATTGGATCGAGGATGATTCTCTGGAATCATTTGGAATATTTTAAGAGACGTTAGGATTGGGCCAGTTGAGTGTTTTAGCAGCCTCCCTTTTCCAGTCTACAAAGGTGAGTGCTAATTATATTCTCTCTCGAGTGCCCCGTGAACGAGTGGTAATCGTTAATTAGTAGCTTGCTTCCTGAAAGCTTCAGCGGGCGTTGCCGAAGGAGGATGAGGCGAAGAAAGGATCGGAAAGGCGTCATTGGCCACGAACCTGACTCGCATCCCTGTCTGTTTATCGATCGTACGTTTTAATTGAATTATACAAAGCTTGTACGTTGAGATTTAATCGAATTCCTTCTACGCAAACAATTAAGACGTATCCATTAGCCATACGAATTTCTTTCGTACACTGAAGATTATTGTTCTTAACTTGCGAGACGAGGAATAATTATAAAAGACCTCTGCTAAATGTTGAGTTTATTATTTTAAATATTTCCCATTTGTTAAAATGTAATATTTTTATAAATATTTTGATAAGTACGAACTTGTCATAAAAATGTGATAAACTTCAGTTTGCAATTTATTTCTCGAATATGTCGAGATTCTAAAACTTCTATGATTGTAAAATGTTGAATATTTCTGGTATCTATCGCACATAAATCACGATTTAACTAAAATATTTTGAACAAAATAGTTTGACAACAATAAATATTTTGCATATGTGTGTAAAATAGTAAAGAATTTGGAAAAATATATAATCAACGATAGATTATTTTCTTTTGGCAACTTATTTTTAAATGTTTTTCTTGTGATATTTTATGCCTTAGTGTAATCCATTTATAAGTTATTCCAATTGTTTTCGTTTTCTCTTCTCTTGGTTCTTAAGAATGCATTGATAAGCTTCATGAAAGTGTGCCATTTCTAATTGGATTACCATTCAGTTTCACTATCAAACACGATGCATGTGTAAGATTTTATAAATAAGAGAATATTTCTTATGGTTTTATTTTTAATAATTTTAACATTTTATTTTAAAAAAATGCTATTTGTGGATGATTTGTGTAATCCAAGTTTTTGATAATCATTTTTGAATGCATTATCGCTTCAGCCAATTTAATTACATGTTTCGTCATTTTATCGTAAATTGAGCGTCCACACCTTCAAAGAATCCCTGTAAAAAAATCGATTCGCCGTTTCCTTGACACGTATCCTCGGATCTCCGCGAACTCGTGTAAATCCTTGACAATGCAGGTTGGCAAGGAAGCTGCCGAGCACGCAGGGCGAGAAAAGAGAGAAGTCACGTCGTTAGCCAATTCATTTATTCCCGGTAGGTCGGCGCCCGTCCAGCATAATCTGTCGATTTGTCGGCGCGGCGTGTCCCGTGTAATGCCGCTTCTTGTCGCTTGTAATCGAGTCGGAGGGAAGGAGAGGGACTCGAGCGAGAGGACGGCGCGTCACTGACTATATGTGAACAGCCGTAAGAAAAGTTATTCCATCCGGGAGGACGTTCACAGTTCCATCCTCCATCTTCTTCGCCTCCCTCCGTTACTCCCAGGGCGTCCTCCAGGGTCTTCCTACCTCTGCCTCTCCCCTTTGCACCTTCCCTCTTCGTTCTGAGCTTGTCCTGCGTCACCTTTTTTTTCCCTTTGCACCGATGCCGGTGCAAGTTTATTGATACGGTGGGGCGCTAAATTATTGATGCTCGACTGCACGCCGCG